GTTTTGTAACACTCCCCAATATGCATTGCAGGCTGATTAGTGCATGTTTGACAGTAATAAGTGGTTTGACGCCTGCCACCAGGTGTTTTCCTGTTAGAACACACAATGCAGTCCCATTTTCTTTGTCCCACATCGGGAATATGTAGTTTATTGTTTAATCCGACACAAAACCCGCTGACATTTCTTGTATATATCTTAGTAATTTTACGATATTTTGATTTAATTTCTTGTGCCATTTCAAGATAAAACTTCAGGGAAACATGCATGTCTCAAAAAGTTGCGTTGAAATAACTCAATTCCCCGTAATCACTAATAAACTGCAATGTCCCCTGAGAGGGGACATCCGAGTGATATGCTAGAATTCCGATGTCCCCTGAGAGGGGACAGCGGAGTGCAAAGGGTTAAAACAAAACAAAACACACAAAAAACCGGTGGCATTTAGGTACCCTCCTCCGCCACCGGCTAGTTGCGCAGAGACCCCGCCCCCCTCGAATTAGCCAATGGGAAGCGGACGAGCCTGGTCGCCTGGGAAACCGCGTGACAACAAGATGGCGGTGCCGCGGGCCGGCTCCTCGGCCCTGCCCGGTGAGTCCCCACCAGGGTCGTTTAGCCGCGGAGTGCTCCACGCATGCTGGGGCCTCGCCCCAAGAGCACCGAGGGCCCCGCCATCCCAGCGGGCGGCACCCCATCAGGCCCCCCGCGTCCTGGGAGTGGATCCGGGTCCTACGTACCATGGCCACGCGTGGAGGAGGCGGCGCGGCTCCCAGGGCGGGGTTAGGTGATGAAATCGGTCTCTCCGAGAGCACTAGAAAAAATGGAAACCCCAATGTCCACCAGTCCATGAATGAATAAACAGATGTGGTATGTCCTTATAATGGAATGTTGTTTGGGGATCTAGGGAGTGCTGGCGTGCAGCTTGCCGGCCGACAGGCACTGGGGGCACCCGGACATGGGGGAGCCAACAAACAGGTCGAGTAGTGATGGAAGATGTCAGTCAAGCACAGTCTTGACTTGGGTCCCAAAGGTGTAGAGGCACAGGACACAGCTTTCCCCTCAAAGCCCAAGCCTTAAGGGGAAACAGTGCAACCTTTAGGCGTCCCGGGCCTGAGGAGGAAGACACAGTTTGCCCCCGAAAAGTCCCCAAGTGACATGGCTCTATCCTCAGGGACCCCAGGTCTGAGGGAATCGGAGACACAGCCCCGCGGTCAGGAGAGCCCAGACTGATGGGAAGATAGAGTCGTTGCTCTCAGGGGTCTCCTATCATCCTGGGAAAATTTATCTGGAGACATTGTTGGATTGGCGGTCAGGGGTCCTCAAACTACGGCCCGCGGGCCACATGCAAATACAAATATTGTATTTGTTCCCGTTTTGTTTTTTTACTTCAGAAGAAGATATGTGCAGTGTGCATAGGAATTTGTTCATAGCTTTTTTTTTAAACTATAGTCCAGCCCTCCAACGGTCTGAGGGACAGTGAACTGGCCTCCTGTTTAAAAAGTTTGAGGACCCCTGGCTGGCCTGTAGTGAGAATGGAAAAAGGGAAGTCAATTGTGGGCCATTGTGACAGCCCCAAAGAAGGGCAGTGAAAGCCCCACTAGAATGGCCAGTAGTGGGCATAGGAAGGAGGAGTTATGTGTGAGAAACATTGGAGTTTTACCTGCAGGATTTGGTACCCGATAGGATGGGATTAAGAGAGAAGGAAGGAGAGAAAAATTTTGTGGTTGGATGATGAGGTCCCATTAAGAAGGGGAAAGATGTTGGGTGTGGTTTGGGGACCAGGTTCCCGCCCCCCCCCGCCCCCCGCTTTTTTCCATGATTGCTTTATTGAGATATAATTCACTCCTTTAAAATGTAAATTTCAATAGTTTCTAGTATATTCATAGGGTTGTGCAACCATCACCCCAGTGAATTTTAGAACTTTTCATCAGCCCAAAAGGACACTCTGTACCCTGTAGCAGTTACCTCCCATTTACTCCACAGCAGCCCCTAGCGCGAGGCAACCACTGATCTACTTGGTCGCCATATGAAATGCACATTCTGGACATTTCATATAAATGGAATCATAACAATATGTAGTCTTCTGTGACTGACTTCTTTCCCTCAGCATAATGTTTTTTTTTTTTTTAAATACATTTTATTGATTTTTTACAGAGAGGAAAAAAATTGATTTCAGAGAGGAAGGCAGAGGGAGAGAGAGATAGAAACATCAATGATGAGAGAGAATCATTGATTGGCTGTGCCCGCAACCCAGGTACATGCCCTTGACCGGAATCGAACCCGGGACCCTTCAGTCCGCAGGCCGACGCTCTATCCACTGAGCCAACCCGGTTTCGGCAGCATAATGTTTTTAAGGTCCATTCACTTTGTAGCATATATTTCATTCCTTTTTTTAAAAAATTGATTTCAGAGAGGAAGGCAGAGGGAGAGAGAGATAGAAACATCAATGATGAGAGAGAATCATTGATTGGCTGCCTCCTGCACGCTTCACACTGGAGATCCAGCCCGCAACCCAGGCATGTGTCCTGACCCGGAATTGAACCGTGACCTCCTGGTTCATAGGTGAATGTTCAACCACTGAGCTATGCCGGCCTGGCCTCATTCCTTTTTTAAAATTGTCAAATACTATTCCATTGTAAAGTTATCCCACATTTGTCTATTCATTCATTGATTGATGGACATTTGGGTTTCCACTTTTTAGCTGCTGTGAATAATGCTGCTATGAACATGTATACAATTTTTTGTGTGGACATAAGTTTTCATTTCTCTTGGGTATAAGCCTAGGAGTGGAATTGCTAGGTCATAGGTAAGTGTGTTTAATCTTTTAAAGAAACGCATGCTGTTTTCCACAGCAGCTGCACCATTTTACAATCCAATTTCCCTACATCCTCAACAAGACTTAATTTCTGTCTTATTTTATTTTTTCCAACACCATTAATTGCCTCTATGCCCTCTTCCACTTCCACCCACCCCAATTTCTATCTTTTTGACTAGTTTCTTTTGAGGGGGTCATGGTGGTGAGAACTTGGAGAAAGAAGGGACAGTCAGGTCTGGTGGGAGATTATGCAGGCCTGTTTTAGGGACTAAAGGCACAGTGCCTAGGCCTTATTAGCATAATGAAAATGCTCTAAAATTGATTGTGATGAAAACTCTGTGATATGTATGTTATTTTTGAATCCCATGGGTAACCCTCCCTGATGCTATTCCCATCCCCACTTTATACAAAGGAACCGAGGTGGGGGTTACACTGGTGAATGACAGAACCTGTGTAGAACCTGGAATTCTTTTTTTTTTAATTTTTTAAAAATTTATTTATTGATTTTAGAGAGGGAGAGGGAGAGAGACACACAGACACATTGATTTGTGTCCCACTTACATATGCATTCATTGGTTGCTTCTTATATGTGCCCTGACTGGGGATCGAACTTGCAACCTTGGTGAATCGGGGTGACACTCTAACCAACCAAGCTACCTGGCCAGGGCCAGCAGCCTGGCTTCTTGACCTCCCTGCCATGTGGACCATGTCTTGGTTGAATCCTGCCCTTGGGTTGCCCCCCTCTGGCTCTGAGATGTTGGGGTAGCACCTGGGCTCTGGTGGGAGGGGAGGGGACACATGAACTTTGTGTTGACCGGCTCCTTGATGGATGGACAAAAGCCCCAGGCCTCTTGGGTAGTCTCATTTCTGGGCTCTAAATTTGGGCAAGTGCCAGGCTTCTGGCACATTTCTGCAGCCTGCTCCATCCCCAATGCCTGTTCCTAGGACAGAGGCCCCTGGGTTCCAAGCAGAGAGCGGGGTCTCTGGAGGAGCAGGTGGATGTTAATCACAGGGCTCCTGAGGCCCAGCTGCCTCGGCAGGAGCAGTGGGAAGAAGTGAGGCAATACCCCCCTGGGTGGTGTTCCTTTTTGGGAACGTAACCAAGGAAGAGAAAGTTTCACTTCCTGGTCCTGAGGGAGTGACTCCAAGGGCTGACTTTTTTTTTTTTTTTCCTTTGTTAATCCTCACATAAGGATATTTTCTCCTCTGCTTTTTTAGAGAGTGGAAGGGAGGGAAGGAGGGAGAGAAAGAGAGAGACATAGAAGAAAGACACATTAACTGGTTGCTTCCCAACCTGGGCCGGGGGATCGAACCTACAACCCAGGCATGTGCCCTTGACTGGGAACAGAACCCATAACCCTTCGGTCTGACTTCTTTTTTTCTACTCAGGGAGTTCCTGACAACTAAGATCTAGAAGAACTATGAGCTCACCTTTGTCCTCCCTTGGCAAGACCCGGAAGGTGCCCCTGCTGTCGGAGCCTGTGAACTCAGGGTAGGAGGCTGGCCCCCGGGCCCTTGGTGTCCACGCCCCTGCCTCTTCCTTGCTCCTCCCATGGACAAGAAGAATGACTCCTGGTGTCTTGGGGAGGGCAATGAGGAGTCACGTAGCTTTCCCTGACCACCTTATCCTTCTCTACCTTCTGAGAGGCTCTCTGTTGTGTGAAGCGCACCGTGGGTTGTGCCCTCTAGTAAGGTTTGGGCTCCATGCCAGTAGCTTAGCAAACACTGGTGGTGCACCTGTTCTGGGCCCTGCCATGTGCTGGGCTCTCGGTAAAGGGAATTCTTCACATCTGTCTAGCATTTTCATCTTTCAAAGAAAATATATCCCCCCCCCCCCCCCCCCGCCCGCCCAGGGAGGAAGGTAGAGGGAGAGATAGAAACATCAATGATGAGAGAGAATCATTGATTGGCTGCCTCCTGCCCACCCCCTACTGGGGATAGAGCTCATAACCTAGGTATGTGCCCTGATGGGGAATCTGTCCTTGTTCATAGGTTGATGATCAGCCACTGGCCGAACCAAATAATTTTTTTAAAAAGATATATTTTATTGATTTTTTACAGAGAGGAAGGGAGAGAGATAGAGAGTTAGAAACATCGATGAGAGAGAAACATCGATCAGCTGCCTCCTGCACATCTCCTACTGGGGATGTGCCCGCAACCCAGGTACATGCCCTTGACCGGAATCGAACCTGGGACCCTTCAGTCCGCAGGCCGACGCTCTATCCACTGAGCCAACCCTGTTTCGGCCAAATAATTTTTTTTTAACTTCCTTGCTCTTATGAACAGTACTTAAATCATTCGTAGACCAAGGGGATCCAGAGAGGTTGAGTGGGAGGCCTGGGGTCCCACACCATTTCAAAGCAGAGCTTGGGCTGGGCTCCTTGACTATAGGACTCTGTCTTCCACCCAAGACTCTGCCCTCCAGCTCTTCCCTGTCCTCCGCTGGGGGGAGGTGGACACCCTGAAGCCAGCATGGGATTGGGGGGTGGGTGTCCTCAGGAGGCAGAGACCCACCCTCCATCACCTTCGTGCTTGGCTGGGGGCTTGGTGCCCAGGGCCTCTCCCCGATGACATTCCAGGGGGTCCTAACGTGTCTGTCTTCCTTCTCCTTCCTGCCCGGATTCCCAGAAGGCGAGGGATAAAACTCTACGGAAACGGTAAGTGAGGGCTCTGCCCGCGTGTCTTCCTCACCTCCCATCTGCCATGTCTCCTTGGGGTTGGGCAGATGGAGAGAAAGCATGATGAAGACTTCTGTCAGCCAGAGCAGCTGGCCCAGCCTCAGTTTGACCTGCAGCTCCCACCCCCCCTGAGGACAGGGCTTCCTCTGGGCAGCTCTCAGTAGGAGGCCCCACACCCCTAGCAGAGAGTCATCCCTAACACTGGAACCCCTCCACCCACCTTGGGGTTGACTGGTGAGTGCTGAGAATCCAGAGGGGCCAAACCCCACCCTCCTTCCCCAAACAGCCTCCTCCAGCTCCTAATACCCGTTTTTCCCAGAACCCCTGTCCTCACATCACTACTCTGACTCCTGCAGGCTCAGATCTTTGCATCTCACCCCACTCTTGCCCCCACCGTGGTCCCCCAGGAGCCAGGCTGGGAGAACTCTAGGAAGAGGCCTGTTCTCGTTGGATCCGTGCTCGCCAACATCCCGTTTTCTACCCTCATTGGTTTGGGGGGACAGAATCCAGGGCCCCAGCTTGCTCTGGGCCTTAGCCCCAGCAGTGACCTGGGCACCTGTGTCTGCAGAAGAGGCGGTGAACGTGCTGAATGATGGACAAGGCTCAGAAGAATCGTTCTCTGTCCCTTCCTGCTACGGCGGCATAGGAGCTCCTGTGGGTAGGCAAGGTGAGAGCAGAGGCCCAAAGGGGTCTGGGTTCCCAGCAGCAGGAGCGGGCCCCAGAGGAGAGAGGCCCAGAGGGGCACGCACCTGCTCCCCCGCCTGCTGGATCTGAGACAGCTGTCCCCATTTCTGGCTGACCGTGGCCATGGGCCTGCCTCCCCAGACCCGTCCAGGGCCGGGTTTGGCATAAAGCTAAGTGGGCCCCACTCTTAGCTCAGGAGGTGTGGCCACGCCCCAGGCCAGGCTGTGGCTAGTGCCTCTGGAGTGAACCTGGCTGGAGTCACCATCAAGTGTAATGTCAGCGTGTCCAGGATCCAGGGTCAGAGGAGTGAAGGGCCTGAGGGTGAAGCTCTGCCTTCAGCTACCTGCTTCCTGCTTTGCAGAGCTCTGGGCAAGGCCCAAAGTCCCCTAGGTAGCCCTCCTCGCCTGGTCCACACCATCCCCGGGGGCTTGGTGACACTGCGGTCATGTAGGTGCCTAAAGGGGGACGGGCCCATCAGGGCACCTTTCCAGAGGAGGGAGGATTGATCAGGCCGGGCAGAGGGGATACCTGCGGACGGGAGGAGCTGGGCGGAGCGCTGGGCAGGGGCAGGGGCGGAGCTGGGCGTCTGGAGGAGCTGGGATGCAGTTAGAATCCTCCACTAGCTGTGTATCTCAGATAAGCAACTTCCTTCTCTGCGTCTCCATCCCGTCTTCTGTGAACTGGGCCTGGGGACACCCAGGTCAGCATGTTGAGGTGAGGATTCGCTGAGGGGATCCTCCAACACCCGTCCGCTTAAATGGTGGGGAGAGGGGAGTTGAGATGGCAAAGGAGGCAGCATGGGCCTGGCCCCACAGCCACGCAGTCACAAAGCCAGTGTCCTCCCAGCGGGGGACACTCAGTGGTGATCACAGCGAGCAGCTCCTCCACTTAAAGGGCTGGTCGCTGCTCTCCGTTCACTTCTCACCAGTGTCTGTGCCCTCAGGCCTCACCTGTCCTCTCACCTCTCTGCACAGCAACAGTCCACATGGTTTGCTGTTCCCTCCTCAGAGCACCCGCTCATACTGTTGGACAAATTACTGACTCTCTCTGTGCCTCAGTTTCCTATAGCAGCTCATTTCCTCAGAGGCATGTTGTAAGGGTTGCACAAGTTGACATGTGAAAGCGCTTAGTGTGGCCCCTCTTATCTAGGTGGCAGCTGTTGTTATTACTCTTATTTCCACTCCTGGGGATCCCCCTCCCCCTCCCAGGACCCCCGTACCTCAGCCTCTGCCCTAGGCATGGGCTCTAGGACTCTGTCTGGTTGGCAGCCGCTGGGGCCCACAATGGGGAGCTGCTGAGCACCATGGCAAGGAAGGTGCAGGATCTGGAGGAGCAGGTGAAGGACCAGAACAACCAGATGCTGTCCAAGGTGGGACCCCCGGGGGGACACAGCCAGGGTCAGGTCTGAAGGGTGGGGGGGGGTCCGGGCTGGTGTGACCAATGAGGCTCCTACTGCAGTAGGTCAGGGTGGTTGGGTTCTACCCTGAACTGCCCACACTGGACTGCCCAGTTGAGGGCCAGGTGTGGCCTGAGCCTGATGGATCCCTGTGACCTGAGTAGAGAGGCTAGGGGTGTTCTCCACAGCTGGGCCAGGCCCGTAGACCTCAGAGTTCTGGGGCACTCAGGGGACCTCCACACCTTTCCCTCCTCGGTGGCACCTCAAGGGTCATCTGAGGGGCAGGAGCAGTGGTTATGCCCAAGGGGGAAAGGGCTTTCAGCTCCCTGGTGCCCCCACAGAGGCACACATTCCAGATCTTCCCTCTGGAAGGGACTCCCTTGGGCTCTTGGAACCACCAGGCCTGCCTGCCCCCCACCCCCCACCCCGTCTTGTTGCTGCAGGATGAGAAGATACAGTCCCTCGAGGAACTGGTGGCGACCCTGCAGGAGCAGAAGGGTAAGAGGCTCTCTCAGTGGCTGCTCGGCCCTCCCGTTGTACCTCCCCTGGGCCCCAAGGCACTGGTGGTGGGGTCTGGACAGCTGAGCCCAGAGGGGCAGTGACGCCTTTAGGATGGTGCCCTCCAACGCGGGACTGAGTCCCTGAGTGCAGGCGCAGCCTCCGCAGCCTCAGCTTCAGGCGGGCGGCGACCTCGGGGTCAGGAGGGCCACCCTCGTCAGGGTCAGGGAGAGGGGCTCGAGGCCATTCTCGGGATTCCCCGGAGTCCTCGAGGGGCAGCTTCTTCAGACGACCCTCAGGGCAGAGCTCTGGTCCAGGCAGCCTGGCAGCCTCCATGCTGGGGCAGCGGAACCCCTCCCCATCTCTCCTGAAGGCAAGATGTCCCTGCAGCGGCAGGAGGAGCTGGAGACCATGTGCGAGCATCTGCGGCGGCAGGTCGGGGAGATGGAGGTGAGAGAGGCAGCGGCCAGGGCTGTCTGCCCTCAGGAACGGGGTCAGAGCCCACCTCTCGGGCCCCTCGCCACACCCCGCGCCCGGCCCTGCTCTGGTTTCCCTCCGCAGGACTAACCGGGAGCCAGAAAGGTGTCCAGGGTGGGGCACACTCCTTCCGGCCTGGGCTTCCTCTTCAGTTTCACCTTGAACCACACTCCCCTCCAGCCACGGGCCCTGCCTCTGGTTCTTTGACTACACTGAGCAGTTTCTCACCTCAGGACCTTGGCCCATGCTGATCCCTCTGCCTGAAATATTTCCCCGCCTCCCCCTAGCAAGGTCCCACTCATCCTCAGTCTCAAATCACGGCAGGGCCCTCCCCCAGGAGCCCCTCCCCGACTGAGCAGGGCAGGCTGTGTCCTGTGCTTCCTTCGTGCCTCCTCTCTCTCCTCCCTCCCCCTGGGGACCTCGAACTCCACCCCAGGAGACTGGATGCAAATTTCAGCCACAGGAGCTGCACCGAAGAGTGATGCCGGAGTGGCCTTGAGGCTTTGGTGGCAGTGAGGGGGAGCAGGGACAGATGGGTGGGAGGACTAAGTCTGGGGCATGCACCTCAATCCAGGCACCCTTTTCCACGTTCCACAAAGCACCTAAAAAAACACACAAAGTGTCTTTCTGCTGTGGGCCGTGACGATTTCTCTCATGAGCCCAGTCCTCACACCTCACTAAAATCTCCCAGCTGAGCTTCACCAGCATCATTTAGGGTTGTCACATGTCCCTGGGCAGATGGGGAAACTGAGGCTCCCATGCCCAAGGGCTGGAAGTCGGAAGTGGCTCTTCCTCCAAAGCTCTTTGTACCACATCACATCCATCTGCTCAAGTGGTGGGACAGCCCGGGAGAGAGAATCGAGATCAATGCCTCAGGACAGAGCATTTGGGCTAATCATGTGGCCGATCTCTGCCGGGCAGTGCTCTTAGGGAAT